AACAGCAGCCTGTAAGTTGAAGACGATGACGTACAAAGCTCGGTCTGGCATGAAGATGTGATGTGCACAGTGGTAAAGGGAGTCCCCAGCGAAATCCCACAGACTCAACTTGGTCTCCAAGAGTGGTTGCCCTTTGACAATGGCTTTCATCTGGTTCCGGATAAGCTTAATTGGAAAGACTGCTTTTGCACGCCATATCTTATAAGAAGTATAGAGATCGAAAAGTGGGTGTGCAGTGACAGACAGGATGTAAAACGCAAGAGAGGGCAACGAAGCGTCTGGTACCCTCAGTGTCCAGCCGCACATGCGTGCAATGAATAAACCTAAGAGAAATCCCAGGATCTTCTTGGTAGCATAGCTGGCCTCCAGGCCATACTTCAGAACCGCTCGTCTGCCAAAAATTGGACCCCCAGGCCCCACCAATTAACGTCGAACAGCCAGTTAGACATAGAAACCAATAGGGTGCGAGGCGGCACCCGCTCTTCAAATAAGCAGCAACTATCACTGATATTAAAGCCAGCGAGACAGCCATCCTCTTTTTGTGCCACCGATCATCAGCTGTGCAGAACTTGTAGCTGGTGAAACCTGTAAACGCTCCTGTCGCAAATGTCCCATACACTACCAGAGTATTCAACGATACCTCTAAGTTGTGGAAAGCAGTCTGCACTGTGGCGTTAGTTTCAGAAGGGTGGGCACAAGCGGAGAAGGCTACCGCAAGCCCTGTGCGAAGGCCTAGACCTGTAGACATGCCTGCGAGAGTCGTGGCAATCGAAGCCATGATGACGTTGGTAGCGAAGTCGACTGGCTCTCGGGACGTTTGATTATTTCCTTTACAGGCTAGTTCTTCAAGTGGCTGGTCAATACGGATCAAGGCTTCGAAAAGGACAGCGACAAAAGACATGGAGGTCGCAAAGCGATATGCGTTGTTACAATCCAGAATAGTGGCCAGTGCGATTATAGTACACCAGACAAACACAAAATAACCGTAGTGGAACACCCCAAGAATGTAGACAACGACGATTACAAAGAAAAGCTGGACAAATTTAAAAATTTTGATGGCGTCACTACTATCCCTCCCTGGGCTACCGGGAAGGGTTTTCGGCGAGTCTGGGGTCGCTGGCAACTGGAAGGGCCTGTTATTTGTACGTCCTTTCTTAATCTTAGCCGAAGAAGTTTCACCGAGAATCGCCACCGCCGAAGCACATTCCCGGATGTCGTCTGCCTTGGCGGCATCTGATTGGTTCCACTTGTTATCCACATTGGTCACGTGACACATCCTTGTCTCTATGCCCTGCGTGGGCTGCTCGAGGCGGTCAAACTCCTTGCCAAGGAGGCGGTTCAGCAGGCTGGTTTTACCTGCACGAGGCTCCCCGAGGATCAGAACCCGAGCTCGGTTGGATGGGAGCTGACCGTCCTTCTTGGCGGCCGTATAGGCTTCTCTGAGTTCTGGGTCGTTCACCAGCACGCTAAGGTTCAGGCTTCTGGTCCCGAAGTCCGACATCCCTGACAAGATTTTCTCAACTAAGCTTGTTCCGATTCCGCTGTAGAAGCTTCTTTTCCCAGGATTCATTTTGTCCTGTGCATACATAAATAGTACAGGCAAACGTAATGTTAGTTGGGTGATGCAAAAGATTCGAATACAGGCCAACACATGTTATTCTAAAGGGTTCAGCAAATTGAATCTACTTAACTATAGGAACATCAAAGTTAATGTGAGGTTAGTGCTAGCGTATAAGTTCACGTTATTAATCTTCCTGGGGACATGGCATTTTGCCCTTTTTAAGCAATAAGCGCCAAGATGCAGCTCATAACCACTACTTATTATGTACAGTTTTAACTGACCCTAGGCTTTACTCGTGCGTGAAAAAATTCAGGAACGAAATTACCAATTTACAACACCAGGATAATTCACTGGCTCGTTCGCTTATGCAGCGAGTCAGCTCTCAGGCAAAACTGCCACACAAGTGGTATTTATTTGTCATCACCTCTGCCAAGGAAGATATTTTCACACAGCATGTCAGTCTTTCTGTTTGTCTTCGTACAGAGTGTTTCAAAACTGTACCGATGAATTGTCATGAAATCTGTGGAATTAGTAAGGATCATTAATTAATTGCAAGGTTAATTTTTTATACTGCAACGTCGGTGTGACGTTATTAAAAGGCACATTGAAAAATAATTCAACTCGAGGAAATAGATAATGATAAGTACGCAAGATTGGGAGTGATGTAATAATGGTTGTTATGGTTTTACTCGATCATACTGATTTCTTGAATATTTCATGTCTCTTCTCCTTCCTGTACATGCAGAAAGGCGACCAGATGTCATTAATTACGTTATACTGTACAAACAGAAGGGAGAAGTGTTTGGCCTTTGATGAGGAAGTACGCGCTCTACATAAATACACCGAGTGCATGTCCGTATTCTTTGTTTTTGTTCTGCATGAAGTGTCAGCAAAACCAGTGGCTTTGAATAACTCCAAAAACCCAGCTCTGTCACACATACATGGTGTTATTAATAGAATTAGTCGGAGAGGAAGTTGAAATGTTCGTCTGGTCTCAAAACGGAGGTGGACATATGATCAACACAATCTTCCCGTGACAACACTTGCCCCAACAATGGTATATACAAGGAAATGACGAGTCTAAAAATACCGATGTCCAATGTGTAATTTCGCAATAAACTCCTGACATTAGTCCTATTAATTTAAATATAAACTGAAATTCACTTACAATGGAACCACTTTGAGCTTTACGAAAATTATTCCACACCTTTGCTGCCAATGATAATAGCTATACACACATTGTGAATGGCGTAACCTAGGGGCGTGTCCCTTCATGCGCATTGCGTAGAAGCTCATACCAGATTCTGTAATTTGTACACCGTCTTACTTTAATAGCATTTAGTTCACCAGTAATTAATTCAACACTAAGAAACCTGAGTGTTTTTTGAATGGAGCAGGGGTTGGGTGAAGGGGTACCGAACATGCAAGAACGCTATGCAGCTTGATTTGCTACTGAGGACGAGTGTTTGTACGTATAATTTTCACCTTTTTTCTATTAAAATGGACAAATCTCCCCGAATTGTAACCTCACACCTCAGGAAGACTAAAAAGACTGCATAAAGACATTGTTATTTTTCTTTTCCTTCCCTCACTAAAAATGATCTCCTCACCCCGAAATCTATAGCTGCCTCTGAATCTTCACTTGGCTCAGGCCCATACCACGTGCGTCTATAAAAGGTTTGCATGGCTGTCATCTTGCAGGTCAGGGGTTTTCTTCTATGAAGTATGTATAAAGGAAGTTTCCCAGTGGAACAAAAACAACCGCCCGGCAAGAGGTGGCTACCACGCAAAGCCTCTACACGCTGTGCTGTACTACATGACTATGAACGCCTGCAGGCTTGCCATGTTTGCCCTGAATTGGATGCTGGCAATGAGGCTCTGACTAGTGTGAAGTTGCAACTTTAGGATACCAACAATATCTCACCTTGAACAGTTGAACTTGAAGAATTCACCTCAACTTCTCACATTCGCTTTAAGGACGAGGCGCTTCTCCTGACGGTGGCGTGGACCACCGAACGAACGGCAAGGCAGAACAGATATTAATTCCAATGTCACCACTACACCCAGGACATATGCCTGCACTTTGTCATGTGGTGATCAGACGTTAGTTGAACATCAGAGGTGCAAGTATCGAATGCACAGGAATTCCTCAAATAAGTTGTTGACTCGTGACGAAATGCGGAAACCCGACAAAACAGAAGTCGGCTTCTTTTCTTAGACCTGCTACTCTTAGGAACGGGGACATAACCAATAGGGAAATGAAGCACGTGTTATTTCGAAACTTCCATCATGAAGTCTTGATGCCGTATGAGTGACTTCCCGGTTATTATGTCGCCTGTGTGAAAGGTTACAGAATCGACGCAGATTTAGGAAAATAGCGCAGTAAAAGGAGAACTACATAAATGCACTCAGCGTATCACAGACAATGTCTTTGTTTACGCACGTGCTTTCGTACAATGAGCAGAGGACCATAGGCCTCAACTAGCCCTTTAGGAAAGTGCGGATGTAAATAGATTGTATTCATGTGTCGGCAATACTGAATCGAAGTGAGGTTAACTTTTCATTTTGCTAACTTGAATGTAAAATCAACACCAACAAAGCAATCATTACAATTTCATGCCAGTTTACACTTAGAATAATTTAAAATTTGTGATAAATTATATCAAAATGTTTCAAGCCACATTTTCCAAACATGAAAATGAGGCTGCGTCCAAATCACTTGGCTTGGCCGAAAATTACACACGAGAGAAGTTTTCTGTGTGAGAACTGGCCGCGGCCGCTACCATAGACTCGTGCGTAATTTCCGGCCTAGCTGTAGCCAAGTGATTCGGACACGGCCTAGGGCTTGGAAGCCATAATAGTCTGGTACCGTCCAATTAAAAGATTTCATTGAATATGATATAATTTGGGGAACAAGATGGCTTCCCTGAGAAAATTCTTTTGCAGTGTGACGTCATCAGTGCGTCGTAGCGCTGTTGCAATACTTCGCTTCTTTTAAGTCTCGGGCCGTCTCTAAATGTAATACCGAATGTAGGCAAATACTTCAATATACTTTCCTTTTCTGCATGTATTTCTATGTTCTGGTGGAATTGTACGACTAATGATTGAGCTAGAAGCTTCAGTGTCAGGGGTTGAAGACTACAAGAGACGGAGACGTAGCTGCAATCGATTTTTTTTAAATGACGAATTAATACTTTCACTGTTGAGAAACTCCATTTCAAAGTGCAAGCAACAGACCCATGCATCTCTTTACCCTCCTGAAGTGACGCATCACGCATGAGACGACGTTTAGATGCGATGTCCCACGCAGACTAAACGGAGATCAACCGGACAGAGTAGGAAGGGAATAAGATCAAAGTGATGTGGTTCCCCCGGGTCATGAGGTGGAGTCAATACAATATGACGGAGAGCGTAAATCCACCTTAATACACAGTTGATCAAACCTCATACAGCGCAAATTTTAAGTCCAGATTTTAGGTGGACCGCCTTTATTATGCGATTTTAATTTTTGCGAGGGATAGGCTTACTTTGTCATGTCTCCTATTATGCTTTCAACCGTCACTTTTCATAACTGCAAACAAAGAAACTCTTGCTAATTTCAGAAAAAGAATACCGGTGTTTCACAAAACTGCGCCTCCAAGAGTTTGCAACGCGTTGGCCAATCACAGTGCGCGAAATTTGTCGACCCAGTGCGCGTTTAGAAAGGGTCGACAGATTTTGGGCGTTGTGATTGGCCAACTCGTTGCAAACTCTTTGAGGCGCACTATTGTGAATCGCCTGTATAACCTGCTCGCATGTTCAAGTTCCACTCCATTTTGAGCCCCTCCTTATTTCTTATACGCAGGGCGCCCTCGTTCATTTTGCAAATGCTGTAAATCCTATTTCCAGAGCCATCAAGCTCACAGTTTGTACGACAGTCCTATCCTTTTTTCCCCAGTGGTGAGCATTTTCATTATTAGGAATGAGAAAATACATTACTACATTACTACGGCCGATTTATATCAAAAACACTTTCAATCGGTTCATTAACTATGTTTCAAACTTTACGGGGAGGGTCATGAATGATTTTGCTCATTGTATTCAGTGCTAGCTTGCATCATTATAGACTAGTCCGTATACAAGAGCGACACTCTACAAATTCCAATCAATCAGCCCATATTTTTTCTACCAGTGGCCCATGCTGCTAGCTCACTACTCCGTGCGATTACGAGCAGAGCAACATGAAACTGCACATCCTCAAGTACTTGGATGAGTATCCTCACGTAGATAAACTAAAATGGAGAACCTCACTTGGACGTTTATCCTCACCGGGCAAATTTTACTTGAAGTTTTAAATATATGTACCCAAATGACAAAGGGCCTGTTTGATTCACACGGATCAGGATCTCGATCAGTGATCCTAACGCTGGTTCGCACCGTCCATCAGGCGAGTTTAGGTGTCCAGGAACCAACGGCTGATCACCTCGTCACCGTTGGGAAACAAACACGTACTGCGATCACTATGTGAAGGGTTTTTACAGATCACACCACAGTTGGCTGTTCGTTATGTGTGTAGTACAGCATGCAGCTATTATGTACAAACTGACCGGGTGCTCTGATGCATTAATCCACCATTTTGTCCGCTATCGTGTCTCAAACTCTCTTTGTCAACAGTTCTGGATCTGTGTCATGTGATGTCCCAATCCTCTAAAGCTGTGAGCACAACGTGTCAGCAATTTAGGAATTCGCCCTATATTTATGGTATTTTTAAAGCCCTTCGTGTGAAAATAATTCCACATCTAAATTTGACTGCTCAACAAACATTTGTTTACAGAGTACAGCCATCATTTCCCTGTTGGCTTGAATTCATGCAGGAGCCCTAGGCCTACTGTCACGATTACTGTACTCATACAGATGAAGGATGCCATCTTGGGCGTAGTAAGACGATAACGCCTTTTCTAGGGGAGCAGGTTAGCGTAGCGGTTCTTTCCTCGCCTTGCACCAGTGAGGCCCGGGTTAGAGTCCCGGCTTGACCCAGGCTTTAAGTGCATATGGTATCCAGTCCATACTCACTCTCGCAGGTTTTCTTCGGGTACTGCGGTTTCCTCCTGCCCCTAGAACTGGACCTTCTTCCTAACTCCGCAATGTGATGCTGATTAATAAAGTGTATGAATGAACGTACAGTTATTGGTGCAAATAGCCTGAGATGCTGAACGCGCCATTAAAACAACAACAACAACGCCTTTTTTGTATACAATCAAACGCTCTCAAATCTGATTAATGTAGTAAGAAACATCAACTGCAATCACGGTTTGGGTGATTCCGCCGGTGACATTTGAGCACGCAGCGTATGTATGATATCCATCCGCCGGAGGGAAGGTCTAGCGAGCACCTTCAGCAAGTCCCTAACGGTCACCTTGCCGTCCAGCATCGCCCACTCTCGCAGCAGTTGCTCGGTTGGGTTGGCGACTCGATCGCTGTCCAACGCGGCCACAGACTCCACGTCTTTGCCCAACTCGCCTGTAAGGACAGAAAGAAAGCTTTCTCAGATTGGCATCCATTGCCACTAATCTTGCTACCACAAGTTTTATGATGAAGTTTCTCTTCGCTAAACAGTTAATCTGAGGCTTAGCTTGGTAGCCTTTTTGGAGATTAGTTTTTTCGATCCACTGGGATATTATACTCATGACTAGGCCTTTTGTGCTCGTTCATGTGGAGCAGAAGCACTGACAAGCAAGATGGCTGCCATGCAGGTCTATTCAGGTCTAGAAGTATTGTAACGGAAAGTAGCAAATTTATTATCTTGTTCCCACAACCCAGAGAGTTGCACAAGAGCGGTGGAACGTTTTTCAAAGTGGGGGCCCAATTGTGAGACCATCAGGTATCAGCCATTATTAGGCCAATCCATCAAGCCCTAATACATGTACCCATTATAGGACCTGCAAACAGTGTGTGTGTGTATGTGTCGGGGCCGGCTAGGGGATGCCCCCAGTCGAAAAAGTGAGGGAGGGGCCACTACCCTTCCTCCTGGATCCCTCGCTTCTGCCACCAGTGGAGTTGCGACACTTAAAAAATAATAAAAATACAAAAAAAGGCGATGGGAGAAATGCGTTCAAGCTACTTACGTCTGTGTATTGCACACACGACCCTTTAAACATGAATTAATCAAAAGAAATTCTGTAATGTAGCCACCTACGGCATGCTTTCTCCAAGTTGTGAACTGTAACCAGATATCGTTGAATCTGGAGTTCAGAGTATCTTCCAGTTTATACCAGGAAATTTAAACACGAATTATTGCTGCTGATGATGAAACTGAGTCACTGTAAAAGAGCGATATTGCGAAATCAACACCAAACTTTGAAACACTGTATTTCTTGCAGTATAGGTAGGCCGAAAATTGCACAATACTGGGCAGTGGGAGGTCTACAAACGCCTAACGAGTCTACCTTTAACCCCACCTGCTAGAGTTTTCCAGCTCCTGTTTCCCGACGAGTTGTTGAGGAGCTGGCAGACCTTTTGGAACAGATCAGGTGGTAACTTTGTGATGGGCGTGTTCAAGTCGAACGCTACACGGCAGGGCGGATAACTTTTCTCAATACCCTGGAAAGAGTCACGACTATAGTTTAGATCTTGTTTGAAAACATTTCTGGGAAACGCGATGAACCACAAGCTGGACCAAGAGAGGGTGCAATTTCCCTAGCAACTCATGCTCCTTTGGAGGAACTGCCCTTCGCAGGTTCACAAACGACTATGAATCGCACCCTTTACAGTCGCATTACTACCAACAAAGTGAACACTCTCCACCAAGATGGCTCTTTTCAACCAATGAGGGGGTGCCTCAGCTCAAAGTGGATACAACAGTTTGCAATGATCATTGTTTTGTCGGACATACAAAGGTCTATGGGTCATACATGCATATATCTCAATTTCCTATACAAACACCGCCTCCTCCCCCCAAAAGAAATTCAAAACAGAACAAAAAACTTCCCCCTGCCCCCGCTTCATTTACGCCACTAGACGCTGAGAAGAGATGCATTGACTACCAGCCCCTTTGCCCCTATTCAAGAAATCGAATTTGCACTTTTGCAGAGGAAACATAATGATCACTCTAAATGTACACGAAGGATATACTGAGTCGGTCCTTGTTCAGAAATACGCCGTAGTTTTGGGTCACTTCCTAATGTGATCGTCAGTTGGCAGTCCGGATACGTGCTTCTATAACACTGCAGCTACGTATAATTATTTTGACCTTAGCACGTGCCTAGGTCTGTACGTCCAGCCTAGCTAGCTCTGGATCAACAATCGCATTTTCTGCACAGTTAATAAGACTGTTTTTCCAAATTCAAGCTTAATTTCTGTGTTCAGCGCTAGGTTCATGGGAATCGCCTATGGTGTCACTCCTCAGCTCAATGCAGTTTCATTTTCTAATGCAGACAAATAGTGTTGGTTTGTTTAGTTGCCATTGTAAAGTTCGGAAGTGAAAACGATTCCTTGAGTCCATGATGAGAAAGAGGAACCAAAGCAACAATTTTTGGAAAAGCCAAGATGAAAGTTGAGGACAAGAGCGGGTACGTAAAGGATAAGGCTACAGCAAAGTAACTTTGACACCACGAAACATTATAGTGTAATGAAAATCTGCTTGACATGCAAATGAGTTCATTGTACTCCAGTTTGCATTGTGGAGAAATGGCTTTGAAGTCACAAAACTGCTTACGCTTTCACGCGGAGCATAGTCCATCCATACAAGGATCAATTCAATGTAAAAAAGGTACAGAAAAAAGAGTAAATTTGTACAGATACAATTAATAATAACAACAAGAAATGGCATTGCATAGGCTTACAAAGGTTTTGTTTTCTAAGCCAGACAGCGGCATCTCGTATCTCTTCTGCCCACAGATCATTATAACTGGTGACCTCGTGGGAAAGGCCTGGTCATTACCGGCCATTTTCAGGACGTGAAAATCGTGGTCCAGTGTGTTGATATCTCGGCTTCCATGAGTGTTCCCTTCCCCGTCCATTTTTGAAGAACAAGATTTGGCTGCCCGGCCACAGAAGGGACAGCGGGGACCAAAGATGAAGTGGAGATGCGGATAGTCCCTCGTGATGATGCTCCTTACGGTTTCCAGCAAACACCGGAGCAGCTTCGTGCTTGGTTTCTCGGGCTCAAATGCAAGGACAGTCACCGATAAAAGCATCTGCTGAGAGGATCGTCTCTCAAGCTGCACCTTGAAGATGAAACTAGTGCCAACATGAAAGCGACATCTGTCTGCAAAGATCAACGGGCTGGAGTCGTTGGCATTCACCCTGTCTGAATGACACGCAAGGGTCAAGCAGCGGGCCAACAGACGGTAGTAAATGGTGCTGGGATCGAAGAAGCCAAAGTCGAAGTAAAAGACCTCCTCACCGCTAACTGGCTCCCAGAACTTCTCTGGTTCACCTTGGTAAGGAGGCAATACAGCAGGTACAAGAAATGACCTCTCGGAGCAGCCTGGGTTTGCTCTTCGATTGACCGGACACATGAGGTCATAGGCTTGGAGGAGATGGATCAAAAATGGGACGAAATGGGGCATGTCACCGTAGATATGCAAAAGTAGACCCTCAGTGATGATTCCGCTAACCTCGTAGTTCATCCACTCCAGGGCGAAGCGGTGATATCGT